CCCCCCCCCCCCCCGCCCACCTCCCCCCGCAAAACCCCCCCACCGCCCTCCCCCGCCACACCCCTTGCCCTCACGCGTCGATCAGCGTGCCCTCTGCGCCGCTAGTGTCCCGCGTGTCCTTCGTCGCCTGGCGCGTGGGCCGGCTTTTCGCCGCCCGCTGGTAGTACTCGTCAATTACCTTCTTCGGAATGCGGTTGAGCAGGTCCTTGGGGTAGATGCGCAGCAGATTCCACGCGATGTCCAGCGAGTCGTAGATCGTCCGCGATTCATACGGCGACTGCGCGATGAACGTGCGCTCGAACTTGTCAAGGAACTCCAACGAAAGCTTGTCTTCGGCCGACAGCGCTTCCTCGCCAACCACCGCCTTCATCGCCGCTGTGTGTCGCGCACGCACCCCCGTAGTTAGCCCACACGCCTCTGCTCCGCTACCAGCACGGGGAAGATGGGGAAAAATGGGGAGGAAGACAAACCGGCATCACGCCCGATCGCGTACTTGGCATAGAGCTGGTTCGACACATCGCCGTGGTCCTTGCGTGTCCTTCCTTCGCCGATGGCTGACTTCATAAGACGGGACAGAGACGGGAGCACGTTGATTGGCGGGTAGATACCCTTGTTGTACAGCTGGCGGTCAATGAAGATCTGTCCCTCCGTGATATATCCCGTCAAGTCGGGAATCGGATGCGTGATATCTAGCCCCATGTTAGCACTCGCATCCAGCATCAGCCAGAACACCACCCGCTCAAACAATGGGGTCGCCTACCGTCGTTAGGCATAGTCAGGATCGGAATCTGCGTGATGGACCCATTGCGGCCTTCAACACGGCCAGCTCGTTCGTAGATCGTTGACAAATCTGTATACATGTAACCTGGATACCCACGTCGTCCGGGCACCTCTTCACGGGCCGCCGACACCTCACGCAACGCATCACAGTAGGCAGAAAGATCAGTCAGGATAACAAGAACGTGCTTCTCCAGCTGGTAGGCATAGTATTCAGCTGTAGTAAGCGCCAAACGAGGCGTAATGATGCGCTCGATTCTTCATAACTCGTTAGTTTCCGTCCTTTGCACTAGCGTTCAGGCGGGGGAACCTACGTAGGGTCATTGGCAAGATTCAAAAACAGCGTGACCCGCTCCATACTGCCGTTCTCCTCGAAATCTCTCGTGAAAAAGCGGCTAGTCTCCATGTTAACACCCATGGCTGCAAAGACAATGGAAAAGTTTTCTTCGTGGCCGTCATGAACATCCTTCGTCGGCTTTACAAGGCCAGCTTGGCGACAAATCTGGGCTGCAATCTCATTGTGTGGCAGACCGGCCGCAGAGAAAATTGGAATCTTCTGCCCTCGTGCAATAGAGTTCATGGTGTCGATGGCTGAGATACCCGTCGAGATCATTTCTTCCGGATACACCTATGAAGCTGCTTAGCACAGACACCCTACTAGAGACAAAAGATATAATCTCCAAACTCACTCGGGAGTATGGGTTGATAGGACTACCGTTAATATCAAGGTAGTCCTCAGCCAGCACCTTGGGTCCCTTATCAATCGCACGGCCCGATCCGTCGAACACTCGACCCAACATGTCCTCGGACACGCCGAGTTTAAGACTGTGACCGGAAAATTCGACTTTCGTCTTCCTGAGATATCAGCCGCTGCTGTTAACTTAAGTACACTACGCTGGGTGCAGTACCTTTTTCACATCAATGCCAGTAGTTCCCTCAAAGACCTATAGTATACCATCCCATGTCAGTCTCCATCAAGGTGGGCACGGATTCAAGACTCGTATGGCTGTACCTGTACGACGGCTCTATCACCTGCATATCCCATTACAATCAGCAAGACTTCCCATATACTCCCACTATAGCTCTGCACGTACCCCTAGCCTCCAAAACTTGGCCAGATCGCTCCGACCCATCAGGCAGCGTTATCGACACGATTTCATTATATCTAGGGAATTTAACCTAGCACCAGACACTGAGTTAGCTCGGTCTATCTCAAAATATCATTTGTATCTTCATACATTTTCAAGGATAACCAGAGGGCCGTTGATGCCCTGAATGGTATTGTATCGGATTCGGGGTTGGACCGAGGTCATCCGGGGATCTTCCAGCCCCGGCGCCATGATTGCAGAGCAGCTAGCCTTTATAGTGCTTGATGTCTGAGAGAATGAAATGTATGTGGCCGTGCTCGAGGGGCTCCAATGCTCAGCCCAGCCCTGTCCGCTCTACTTGGTCACCGCGACAGCTCTGATGAGGTTCGTCTGCCAATCATGCAGCGCCCCCACTGACGTAAGCAGTCAGGTGACTTTGAAATATTTCGGAATATTGTCATTCCGATGAACTGAGCTTATTATGTAATCAAGAACTATATACGTAATCGGGCTCTCTATTATCCATCCGACGACAATAATAATGAGGTGAATTCTTGAATCTAACGCCATTTATAATGTTACATCTGGTTGTTGTCCTACATACGAGCTTTGAGATGAGATATGTCGATCGAGGCGTAATGTTACCTATTGCCGGACGCTCATTGGCTTGCTGTTGAGCCACTCGTCCTGCAGGAGCTCCTTCGCGCAGCGCCGCTCCTCGGGCACCCAAGCCAGCATTTTCCACAAAAACTGCACGAAAAGCTCCTGGTTCCTGTCCTGTGCTTCTGATAACCCTATGGGGCGCGGGGGAATGGGGGCGAGACTTCTCCAGTCTCCTTTTAATTTGTTTCAGGTTAGCAGAAGACAATGTTACGGGGTACGGAGTAGGTAAGAAGTGAACGTGGCGTGCAACATACCGTCTGTGGTCCAATACTGCCAACTTTTCTCGCTTTTTTCAAGAAATTTGATAGGCGGTGGCCCAATTACGGATATCATTTCTGCGAGAAGGTGGGCATCAGAATGCTCGCCATCCGGGCCCGTGCCCTTGAATAGGAAATTATTTTCCAAAACACTCGATATCTATGGCATGATCAGGTCAGTACACGCGGTAGAAGTACAAAGACTACTGGATATACCATGGCTCCCACATTCCAAATATCTACCTTCGATGTCCACTTCATCCCTAATACCACCTCGGGAGCTCGATACTGGTTTGGCTGGATCAAGCCACTATACTCTCTACAGCCGGCACGCGCTTCCCCGAAGTCTGAAAGTAAGGGGGGACCTACAGATCGATAGTCATCCTGCCGCTGAAATGTCCGTGATTTGTAAATGGTATGACCTTCAATAATCTTGCGGGGGCTGGGCTCTTCTTGCTCAAGTGTGTCCCATTCATCGAAAATAGATGAATCTAAAGAAACAAGCATGATGTTTCCCGATTGTATATCTGGAAGTAGTAAGCGGCCAGTCATCCCTCAGAGTATCTATTAGTTCCAGACCAGTATGAACCACATGAGCTTCCGTATGCAAGTAGTCAAGCGCCACAAAGAGTTCCCGCAGCAGGATCTTGAGCATATCCTCGCTGATAGTACGGTGTTTAAACGAGTACTGCAGTTGCTGAAAGTTCATTAACAGCGGTTCCTGAACAAGGCACTGGTGCCGGCCACGCGGCCCGTCAATCTCAAACGAGTCCAAGGCATTCCGGATCTTCGCTTTTCCTGGATGCTGCGATTTTGTCGATGCTATCTGCTCCAGCACCTTTACTTCACGTTGCGAGTTGGTATTGTGGGTATAAACCTTCACAGCTGAATACTGGTGCTCGCTATGAGTTTCCAGGATTAGATGCCTAGTCATGTAGACAACTTTGCAGCCATGAACACTTACAGTAGATCTCGACAGAACCAAACAGTAGAATTGGTCCCATAGCCAAGCTTGCTTAACACCTGGTATCTTTCGTTGAATACTTCGCCAAAACGAACAGGATAATATGCGTGTTGATCAAATGCCGGCATATTCTCCTCTTCCAGTTTCACGGCCGGGTCTAAGACAGTAAATTCGCCCTCTTTGAGGACTCTGGGAGGTGACGGGGCTCTGGGTATCAGACAACGCCCAATTCGACGCAGTACTTCCATGATGCTGTTATGGAGGTGTAGTTTGTTTTTGTGTATGCAGGTTTTGTTGTTGTCTGTAACATCGATCTCTCACTTCATGTGTAAGTTACATACCATCTCGTTTCGTTGTCGAGAAAATTTCATCGGAACGTATGAATTATATTAAGTTGCTGAATCATTTAAAAGAGAGTAAGTCTTTATTACAATAGCCCCAGGCAAATGAAGCTTGGATTAAAGGTATATTTAAAAAATAAGAGGTATATAGGCTTGATATTTCTACTTATCGCACCTTAGAATTCAGATTGTCATCTCCGCAGTAGTGAATGAATAACCTTGGGTTCTATGTAAGAACCTATAAAAGTACAAGTCCAAGTTTTTGTAATTGTAGCATCACTCAAGGACCATATTGTAATCTGGATAGGCAGTTACTCTTGTCGCCATTTTCAACGCTCGCGGATTTCAGTTAAGACCATGTGTCAATCTAGAACTGATCAGGCAGGGCGTTCGATGAGACAATAAGTTACCTGTCTTCAAAATTCATGTCAGTCATGGGTTGCTTTTCACATTTCCCAAGGAGCAATGGGCGCGTGGCGTGGTTAAAGGGCATCCATAATCCTGAGAAGCAGGCAACGAAACGAAACTCGAATGGTGATGTTTGTTCTGAAATTCCCTGTCTAGGACGGTTTCATGGCAGACCTAGATTTATTAACTGATATTCAGATTCTGTCAAGTTCCAATGTGGAAAACAAAGAAGGCCATAAATTCACCCATCTGTCACCCAATAATGGTATAATTCTCCACCATCCCAAACAATCTTCGCTTTTGATATTTTTCATAGTCCGAAAGATTCTAATCTGGCACCCCAGACTGACACCGTAACATAAAGCCTCTTCTTTTAGAAAAAGTCTAGAACCTCAAATCCCACCCGATCTGTGGCCCAATGACGGGTAACGCATCCGCAACACTCTGAACATCTTTATCACCGCGACCACTCAAGTTTAGAACAATATTCTTGCCTTTCTCCATCTTCTTCGCCAGCTCGAGCACTCCATAGACCGCATGAGACGACTCCAGCGCAGGGATGATACCTTCTAGCTGGGAGATGGTCCGGAAACCAATCAGGGCTTGGGCATCCGTGGCAGCGATAAACTCGGCTCTCGAGCTATCCTTCCAGGAGCTCAACTCAGGACCAACGCCAGGATAATCGAGACCAGCGGAGATGGAATGGGTGTCGGAGATCTGCCCGTGTTCGTCTTGCAAGACGTAGGTACGCACACCGTGTAATACGCCTTTGCTTCCGCTGGACAGCGTGGCCGAGTGTTTGCCCGTCTCAACGCCATCTCCACCGGCCTCGATGCCGAGGAGTTTGACTTCTGTGTCGTTTGAGAAGGGATAAAACATGCCAACGGCATTACTGCCGCCGCCAACGCAGGCTACGACGGCATCGGGGAGTCTGCCAGTCAATTCCAGCATTTGTTTCTTCGTCTCCTCGCCAATGACGGACTGGAACGTGCGGACAATAGTGGGGAAGGGATGAGGCCCGATCGCAGAGCCGATCACGTAATGCGTGCTCTGCAAATCGACGACCCAGGCGCGGAGGGCCTCGTTCACGGCATCACGGAGAGTCCGAGAGCCAGCCTCGACGGCAACGACAGAGGCGCCGAGCAGTTTGATACGGAACACGTTCAATGCCTGGCGACGAACGTCCTCTGCACCCATGTAAATCACACACTCCATGCCAAACTTCGCGCAGACGGTCGCAGTGGCTACGCCGTGCTGTCCGGCGCCCGTCTCAGCGATGATTCTTGTTTTCCCAAGACGGCGGGCAAGCAAGACTTGCCCCAGGGCATTGTTGATTTTGTGACTTCCTGTATGGTTCAGGTCTTCTCGTTTGATGTAGATATTCGCCCCGCCAGCATGTTCCGTCAAGCGTGAGGCGAAATGTAAACTGCTTGGTCGGCCCATATAGGGGTAGTATGAGCGGAATTCCTCCCAGAACTTGGGATCATTCTTAGCTTGTTCAAATCCGGCCTCTAACTCGGCCAGGCAGTCCATGAGAGATTCCGGAACGTATTGTCCACCAAACTCTCCGAACCGTGCTGGAATGGCTGCTGGGTTCTTGGTGATATTGAGGGCTTCAAGTTGATCCCCTAGTCCAGGTCCAGCAGTCGAGGACTCTTTGATAACTTTTGTCGCATGGGCCCCTTCTGGCTCCTGGGCTCCAGCAAGAGCTTCGGTAAGACCAACCTCCCTCGTCAGCGAATCCGGAAGTGTGCTGCGGTCCACAGTTCTTCCTGTGATACTTGAACAGTATTCTTTAACCTTCTGACGACGTTGACCATCTGGCGCAGTCCCCAAGACATTGATAATTTGGCTTCCAATAACAACCCCTTCTGCAATATCCTGGAGACCCAAGAAGTGCTCTCGCGTGCTGACTCCGAAACCGAGTGCGGCGGGAATATTTCCCGAGTATTTATGTACCCGACCAAGAAGCTCTGGCAAACCAGCACTCAACTGTCCCGTGGCACCAGTAACACCCATTCTCGAGACAACATAGATAAACGAATCCGCAATCTCACATAGAAGCTTCATCCGAGACTCTGACGTCGACGGCGCGATCAGGGGGATATACGACAATCTATATTCCATCAGCCCCAAAGGTCCAAAAACCCCCACCACTCGCCCCCGTCTAGCCACCTACCCTTCATATTTGCACAAATCCCGAAAGCGCACAGCTTCCTCGGGCGGCAAATCAACCATAATAAAGCCATTGGCCCCGGCGGCTTTGGCGTCCCTCAGCGCGCGCTCCTCGCCGTACCGCAGCAGTGGGTTGTAGTATCCCATCAGAATGACGGGCGCCCGCAGGCCCCGATCGCGCGCCGAGCGGATCATTTGCAGAACCAAGGTCATCGTGACGCCATGCTGCAGGGCCTGGGTGTTTGCGCGCTGGATGGTCGGGCCGTCGGCGATGGGGTCCGTGAAGGGCACGCCGAGTTCGATGATATCTGAAAAAAACACAGGAAGGCGGACTTGTTAGATCATAGGCTCTTCGTAGACGAGCGAGAGGGAGTCAGCATGATGGAGTATCAGGGAGTCTCTCACCGGCGCCCCCCTCCTCCAGGCCGAGCATGATATCAACCGACTCGTCGGGGTGCGGGTACCCCGCGGTGACATAGGCCACCAGGGCCGAGCGGTTCTCTTTCTTGCATTGCGCAAACGTCTGCTTTATGCCGTCCATTGTGAAGTGCTGTATGTATTCTGTATGCTTATTCCTCCGTCTAAAACGGGTGTTGGATTGGGCGACAACTAGGTCGGCAAGGTTGCTGTTGTCCCTGCTCGATTGCGGGGGTGATTATCGGAGGTGCCAATACGGGATAGTACAGCGAATTTGGGTATGAAGAGAGGTAGAGTGCTACAATTGCTGTTCCAGGTAACTATATGAAAAAAGAAAAGAATCGAGTATTCAAGAGTGACAAGGGAAGGACAGAGTATGTAGAGAATGGTTGGCCGTTTTTTTTTGGTGGATCGAAACTCTGAGTCACTCACTCACCCACGGTCTTCGAACTAACGTCTGACGACACCGAACTCCCGAGCCCCGCTCTGGGGCTTGCACGAGCGGAGCTGAAGGCGCTTCTCTTTGAATTCGACCTAGCTAGCTGTAAGTATATTTTTATTCTGATGACCGATCAGCCCGCCGTGAGGGAGGCCAGCAGGCCGATCGTGAAACCAACCAGGACCGAGTTCTTCCATAGACAACTATCCGATATCGCTGTCAGAGCGCCACCGTGCATTCAAATGTCAACTAGTTCTACATGGGATACGATCAGACAGATCAGGGAGAGAGAGCCAAAGTAAAATAATAAGTAGGGCTATATTAACTAATTGTCGATGCTGATTCTAACTCGGTTATCGTAGGATATCACACTCAAAACACGTTCACAGTCAGTAAAATCAAAAAACAAAGCACTTCAACAACAGTTAAGACTCGAGAGATATCACAGCCCAAAAAAAATACAAATCAAATCAAATCACACATCAAAACAACTCACAGTTCAAAACCATAAGTAAATCAAAAAGACCAAAAAAGATACAAAAAACGCTTTTTCCCAAGGACGCCCAATGGAATCAGTCCCGTTACCCAGATCCGATGCAAAAAAGAACAAATAATGCGTGTTCCAACACACAACAACAAAGGAGTGGCTGATCGCTAGAGATCAAAAGCATACTCATCGTGGTATCAAGCAGAAAAAAGGAGTGACAACATGCCCAGGGGGTATCCCATGCAAGTTAAAAAGAAATGCGTTTAACAAAACCCAGCCATTCCCAGAAACAAGCTGTAAAAAAAAATTACATTCTCCCCCGCAAAAATAAAGAAAAGAAAAGTTAAAATATCAACGCCAAATGCTGTAATTAAACAGTTAGGTCGCCGTAGACAAGCCAGGGAGAGACAGGAGGGGGTTAAGACATTAATGAGTGCTGTCTCGGCGCCAAAGTAAAAGCGGGGGGGGAGAGGAAGGGACAGGTTAGATTGGGTAAAGGGGGTTGATTAGTATTAATAAGGAGGGGAGGCGAGAACTATAGAGCCCGCCGTTCATCCGCCTGCCATCACGTAAAGGAGAGAGCCATGACCAGGGGGAATCATTTGTAAAGGATAAACCAACCAACGCCGCGCTTGTTTCTTGACAGGATTTCGTCAAAGGAGTGGCAGACCGGTAAAAAATTCATAACCGTAATTATTATAGTTTCTGGGGACGTGTGTGTCGGTAATGTGTGGGTGTGTGCATCGGATGTGTTCTAAAGGAGCGACTGACGGGACCAGCATCTTCCAAAGATGTAAATACTAACAGCACTAAAACAGATTTCGCTCGCAATAAGACAGACGTAATTCAGGAAGCGGAAACACACGCGCGTTCAAGCCGCGATGCAGTGAAGAATTAGATTAAGCCACTCAAGAGCGGCAGACGGCTTGAGGGAGAAAATGACGGACGGAGAGGGGTAGAGAGCTCAGTTCGATAATACCTGCAGCAGTCTTATGCGCTTGTACTTGGGTGGTGGCCCAGGACGTACGGCGACGGGACGCCATCGCGGTTGACAGCAGCAAAGCTACCAGGATACGAATACGCCAGGTCATGAGGGACATTGGGCGGCGCCGAGACGGAGTTGTTGCTGACAAAGGTGTTGAAGTCAAAAGGGTGGTGCTGGTGCTGGTGCGGGTGCTGGTGTTGGTGCTGCGGGTGTTGTCGATGGACCATGGCCGGCGACGGCATCTGGCGATGTGGGGCCGGCGTGCCGTGGAATTGATAGGGCGAAGTCTGCGGGCCCTCGATCGAGGGCATGACGACGCGGACAGGCGGGTTGGCGGGGCCTTGGTGAGCGTGGCCGTACATCTGCACGCGAAGGTGTGGAGACACGCCTGGAGCGGAGACATCGACGATAGATTGCTGGGAGCCAGCATGGAAATCCATAGTGCCGTTCGCGCTGCCGTGTACCGGAAAATTGGATGCAAGCGGGGCCTGTAGGGTTCCGGCAGTGGAGGAATAGCTGGCGGACTGCAGAGTATATTATTAGCAAGATGCCGATGGTAACCAACTACTAGTAGAAGTCCAACTTACATATTTTCCAATGATCTTTTTCAACGCATGAGCCAAGATTCTCCACGGGAATACTTTCACGTCCTTCTCAATGTTTCTTGGCTTGGGGTTGGGAAATCCCATAATGACCTTGAAAAAGTCCTCACTCTCGGCCTTGGTCTTGGAAACAGTCAAGGGGCGGAATCCTTCCAGGTTCCGGCGAATGCGGTTCTTCTCTTCGACAGTAAATCGCACGCCAACGAGCGACTCGAGCAGATAAATGGTGTCGACGCTAGTGACGAAGCATTCCTTCTTGCCAGCCCAGTAGATGCAGCTGATGCAGATGCTGTTGGGGACGCGCTCGACTGCAGTAACGGGCTTGAAGTCGGCGTGGATGGTGCTGCCAGTCTGTTGGCGAGTGAACTGCACGAGCCGTCTTTGGCATTCCTGTTCGTCCTTGGTCCAGTTATCAGCCATCGTGTCGAGATCGCCGTTCAGCTTCAAGATTGCCTTGGAGGGGTACATGGCATAGGGATTGAACGGCTGAGGCTGGCCGATGACATTGGAGCCTCCCAACGACTGCTGAATGGTCGAAGTGCGAATGAGAGTTGGGTTCTGACCAGCTCTGACAGACATGGGTAGATCCTGAGTCTGCGCAAGCGACGACACGCTGAAGCGAGGGTTGAAATCAGCAATGGTGCTGTCTGGGAAGGCGGGGCTCCAAGAGGATGCGAGTGGAGACGGCGCTTTGACTCTGGACTGCGAAACATTGTACACTTCCAACTGAGTAGGTGGAAGCGGCGATGGAATGCGTTGTGGGCCAGAGTAGCTTGTCATCGACGTTGGCGTTGGCAGATATGGAGAATAGGGCGAAGCCGATAGGCTCTCGGCGTAGACCGAGCTCCTAGGGCTGTCCTTGACCCTCAGATGTTTCACAGAAGTGGAATTGGTTGAGGCCGAGGTATCATCTGAGCCACAAGACATTCTCCGTTTGCGCGATGCAGGGGAAATGGCGTCGAGACACTGTTGGTAATTGAACACACAGACCTGGACAACATGAGCGGTGGGGCCTTCAGGGTCATCCATGATCAGCTGGACAGGCACTTTGAGGGAGGTAGACTGGGTAGCCGAGAATGGGGGAGCGTCAGCCATGAGAACGTATTCATAAGAAGCTTTGGCGGTGCGTAGGCGAGCAATGGAACAGTCACGACGGCAAGATCCGAAGATGAAGGCGAAGCTCCAGGGGACGGGGTCAACGACGTCGAAGCCGGCGCGGATTTGAGCGGAGAATTTGGTGCCTTCCGCACCGTTGGACGGGTCGCAGGAAATAATCTCGGGTGCTGGCCGGGCAGAGACATCCAGACTGGGAGAGCGCGGGAAGTCTACGGGAGAACCCGCATATCCACTATTATTGGCGACATAGTGGATGCTCTCGTCGTCCGAAACCGGATGACTTTCCAGCACAGGGGTGTAGATTTGTCCTGAGTAGGAACCCTGAGGATAGGAAGACAATGCCTCATGAGAGAAGCCGCCAGTGGTGCCATTAAAGTCTGAGACATGTAGACGTCAGCTTAAGTGAAAGGAGCAGGGTTCATGACCGGGTTCAATTTACCCAATAAATTGGCAGGAGGACATTTTCCGTAGGTCGCCATGGACAAAGCTCCTCCTGACTTGGCCAGGAGGCCGTCCGAGAAGGTTCCTGCGAATCTGGATTCCTCCGGGTCAGAAAAGTCCACTGATTCGTCGAATATCAAGGGCGACTGGAATTCCAAGTCGGACTGCATGGGGGGTAACAGTTAGCGTGGGAGTGGCAATGGAGCGGTGAAGCGGAAGGAAGAAGGACCTACATGGATATTGAGGCCCTTTGAGTACGCCAGAGTGACGGTGTTGCACGGCAGGCAACGAGAACAGACTTGGGGTGATAAGCGAGTGACTGAGATTCAGAAAATCTCCCGAAATTAAGAGCTGTTTCGAAAGCGATTGAAGCGATCCGAAACAAGGCAGTAAAAAGGCAGAGAAACGAGCGACGTGGGGAGACGGTTATACAGTCTCCAGAACACACAGGGCACAACGACAGCAGCAGCGGCGAATTGACATCCAGCAGATCAAACAAAAAAACACAGTTGGTCGGTCAGCAATGGCGATGGCGGAGGTCTCTGGCTAGGGAGCAGACGCTCGCAGTCCCGCAGGCCGTTGAATGTCGTCAAGAAAGAAATGGAGACACGGACAGCGTGTCTCGGGAAGGGTGGACTGGGAAACAAGCGGTTAGCCTCTGGGTCTGGTCGGCACAGCGCATGGTCTTTCTTTGGGCGCAGGCATGCTGGCGGGAAACAAAACACGGCGCGCACACAAACAGGAGCTTCGGATGAAAGAAAAGAAAGAGAAGGGAGAAAAACGGCGTCCAGGAGAAGATGCGCCTGGGACACAGACGGCGGCTACCAGCCAATGGGGCGAAGCAGGGCCGATGGGGGGGTTGGAGGTGGACGGGCAGGGGAGAGCTCACGTTGGGAGAGGAAGTCCTTTGACAGAGCAGAGCGGACGGGAGCGCGCGATGCTGAACTCTTGTCTCTCTTTTGTTTCTTGGTTTGTTGCGACGATAGATTAAGGTGGTCTATTGATCGGTGTTTCAACGTCTCGGGGTGGTTTCTATTGTTGTTCTGACGTTTCAACAGAGAAAACACAGGCGGAGTAGCGAGCGAGCGAGAGCGAACGTAGACCGTGCAGGATCGACGGCGCAATGGATTAGCAGTACGGTATTAATGGGCGAGCGGAGAGAGATATATATTATTATATATGTATATGCGGTGGGCGAGGGGGAGCGATTAGAGCAGCGGGACGGCAAAGCAACAGTATCAGCGCAACAATAGCGAGTGTTGGGACAAGCGAGTGTGATGTTGGGTAGAGCGAACGAAGGACAAGTCGGTCAGCACGGCATGACGGAAGCGAAGCGGAGAGGAGGAGGAGGGGGGGTAGGACGGCGAGGCGGGAGAGAGAGAGAAGAGGAGAGAAGAGAGCAAAGCAGCGGCAGAAGAAGAAGAGGAAGAAAAGGCGGACGAGGAGGAGAAGTTATGATGACGCCGGGATGCGAGGGCAAGCAAGCCAACCCCCGCCACCAGCTTCGACGGGCGGGCAGGGATGGGCGACGCCAGCCGGCCAGCGCACGACCTGCGACACGCCAGCGCGAGGCTAAGAGCAACCCCTGGAGGGCCGGGCGGAGGTAGATGGCGGGCTGCGGAACTAGGCGAGGGCGTGGGCTGGTGGTGCTGGTGCTGGCTGCTGCTGCCACCAACAACGCCAACCAGCTAGTACTACCACTACCACTGCTGCTGCTGCTGCTACTTGCTCCGAGGCCGGGCTGGCACTGCAGCCGGCCGTGGAGTTGTGCGGGCCAGCGTCGCCCGGCTCGCCGCCCGTCGATCGCACTCGATGCGCGCAGGGATCGCGGTTTCAGGCCGCGCACGTGACCGGGCCGGGCGGCGCGCGTGAGTCAGCCGGTGTGGGCGGTACGGCCGGGCGTCACGGCTGCGTACCGCGCTGGCAGGATCGCGCCCTAGCGCCTGGGCAGCCCGCGTCCACGCTAGTATCGCCGGTACCGTACGCCGCCGCAGCACCACCCTCGCGCACGCCCTGCGCGGGGCCGGCGAGGTCACGGGGCGTGTGGGCGATACGGGACGGCGGGCGGTGAGCGGCGGAATAACAGAGGGCTTGCTCTCTGCGCCCGATGGAGGATGGGCGATGGACGATGGACGACGGACGGTGGACGGTGGGCGAGCGTGTGCGGCGGGCGGCACGGCGGATGCTGCACACAGACCAACGGCTATATTTAGCAGCGCGATCCGACTGCCGAGCAGCGCGTGGGCGCCGGCGCCGTCTCAGCGTAGGACGCTGGAGTCGCAGTCAAGAGCCCGCTGCCCAGCCGAGAAAGGCCCGAGCTGGCCGTACGGCCCATACATACACACAGTACTGTATCCGCGGGTCTGCTGCGCTGGTCTGCTGGTCTGCTGGTCGGCTAGCTGGTTAGCTCGCCAGCCTGTCTATTTATAGGCGCCGGCGGTTTTGGCGGGTGTGTTGTTTGGTGTGCGCTGCGCGGGCGCTGTCGCAGCCAGAAACAAATGCGCGCGCCCTATTTTTAGGCCCGAGGCGCAGCAGCCTCTACCAGCCAGCAGCCAGCTCGCTCGCTCGCTCAGTGCTGTTGCTGTGATTATTGTTGTTGTCGTTGCTGTGTGTCCTGCGCGTGAAACGCTGGCGGGCATGGGGTGCTGTCCGCGCCGCTCCCACGGTTACATGGCCGCTGACAGCTGCGTTCTCTTGGGTGTGCTTGTCCGACCAGCACCCTCCCAGCTGCAGCCTGCCCGCGCGAGTTTCAGCAGCCGAGCTGCTGCAGCGGCCTGCGTTGCTTTTCTTCTCGCGGCACGACGATTAATTGCTGTCGTGCCCTGCTCGATAATCTTCCTTCTCATCTCCTCGCGCGCGCGCGCGCAGAGCCTGGGCGACGTCGTTCGCTCGGCCTCCTCCTCTATCGTTCTGTTTTCCCGCTAACCTACACTAACTACACTACTACGCTCTGCGCCAAAACACCCTGCCCGCCGTCCGTTTCACCTCACTTGGCGCGCGTGCTGGCTCTGGCGCATGTCCGTCGCTCGTTGTTGTCGTTGCTGGGCTCGCGACCACTGCTAAACCGGGGTAGGTTGCGCTTGGGCGTTCTCCAAACACCAGCGCCGCGCCCCCCCCTCCACTCCCCTCCCCTCCCCCTCCAAGCCCGGCCTTGCGATCACAGTCAGACACTCCCTACCCGCCCGCCGCCGCCGCCGCCCGCCGCCCGGCCTGACAGAAGTTTATCGCCGTGAATCGCGCTGTCTCCTGTTTCCCCTCGATACACTCTGGCCCGCCGCCGCTGCAAGAATAATACTCCCCTTCCCAGGGTTTGGCGCTTGCGGGGATGTCCGCTGTCCATTCACGTTCATGTGCCCAACGCCCGCCGGGCCCTCGAAATTGACCCGACAAGGTTGTGTTATATTATTCTTGCAAAAGCCCGTTCCTGAAATCTTAAATCCAATCTCGGTGTCGTGAGGATTGTTATTAGACGAGCTAACTAGTTACATCACACAAGCAATTTATTCTTATTCACATTCAGATGTGCACAACATTATTATTATTGACAATAATGATTGCCCGTCCCATGTTCACCACCACGCCTATCCCCCTCGGTTGGTCCTGCTACCCTGTTTCAGCGAGATAGCTCCTCGGCAAGAGAACAAACTCGAGCTACGGGCCTACGCCCAAAGAACAGCGTTTCAGTTAGAACGAGAGATCGTGCGTTTTGGCTTTTTTTTTCGCGGGAACCTCCCCCAACTCTGCGCGGACCTGACTGGGCCCCGTTCCCAGGGATCCCCCAGCCTGCGAGGGATTTTCAGGGGAAGCTCAACTTACCAAGGAGGTTTCAACACAAACAAGAAAAAACAAGGCGTTTATCGTTTTGCGCCAGCACACAGGGAGAGACAAGCCCAGACGGAGAGGGGGAGGGAGCGAGCAAGCACAGCAAAATAGGCACGAAGGCTTTTTCTTTATCCTTTTTTGTGTTTACAACTTACTTTCAGATCCGCCGCCGTTCGCAATCTGGATAACCAGTTTTCCGAACTGGCTTCCGGCTTTCATGTCGTCAAAGAGACTATCGATAGCTTGGATGTTATCGAGGCCCTGAACCACCCGCCACACGATCGGGTGGAGTTGCTGCTCGGCCACAAACTGCACCATGTCTCTGAACTCCTTGCGCGAGCCCATCGTCGAGCCCTTGACGTCAATGTTCTTCAGCACCGCCGACATGGTGAACGGCATCTTGGGCCCGACCGTCATGCCATACACGGAGAGCACGCCGCCAGCCTGTGAGAGGTTGTCTTAGGTGTTAGTGCGCACGCAACCCAACCAACAAGCAGCAGAGAGATACATCGTCAAACTACTACACAAGAAAAAAAAGGACGACGACGCAGCAAAAAGGGCCGATCAGTTGACGCAAGCGAACCTTGAGCAGTTTGACGGCCTTGTCCACCACATCTCCCCCGGCCCCGTCGATGATGGCATCAAAGTGCGTTTTGCCGGGCGGCAGTTGCGCCAGCAGCTGCTTCTCCCACCCCGCTTCCTTGTAGTTGGCGCCGCCGCGCGCGCCCAGGTCGCGCGCCTGCTGCAGCTTCTGCGCGCTCGAGCTGGTCACATACACATCGGCGCCGCGCGCGACGGCGAAGCGCAGGGCCATCAGGGCCACGCCGCCGCCGATGCCCGTGATCAGGACGGCCGCGCCGGCGCGCGAGTTGCGCTCGCCGGCCTTGGTGACCAGCGCGCGCCAGGCGGTGAGCCCCGTCAGCGGCAGCGCGGCGGCCTCGGCGTCGCTGAGGTGCGTGGGCGCCCGCTCGACCTCGCGGGCGTCCAGCGCGATGAATTCCTGTAGCGTGCCCTTGGGCGTGAGCCACGTGCCGCCCATGATGGCGTAGCCCGCCGCGGTCTCGGGCCCGTCGGGGCTATCCTGCCAGCCAAAGCCGGGGTTCAGCACGACACGCTGGTGCAGCCAGGTCTCGGGGTGCGCGACATCGGGCCCCGCGCCGACCACCGTGCCCACGCCGTCGGCCAGCAGCGGCGTGTCGAACGAGACGCCCGGGTACAGGTGCTGCCGGATGAACAGGTCGCGGTGGTTGAGCGCCGCCGCGGTTATCTGGATGAGCAGCTCGTTGCCTTGCGGCGTGGGCTGGGGCACGTCGCGCAGCGCCAGCGGGTAGTAGACTTGGCCGGGCTTGCCGAACTTGCCATCGGGCGAGGTGATGGTGATGGCGCGCATGATGAGTGGCTGTCCGTAGAAGTAGTAGTCGTAGTGATTGTCGTAGGAATGGCAGTGGCGGCGTCGTCGTCGTCGTCGTCGTCGGGGGATGAAGTTAGATAGTTAGATGGATGGGAAGTGCAGTCTAGATGCGATGGCCGTGCCTCGTCACTTGATGCCCCAATCGGGGAACAGCCGGCGCCGGCTAACTGCCCTCCGCGGCTGGCCCTCCAAGGTCCGCGGCGGACGCTGCACGTACCCACGGATGCAATGCAAATAATCCCCAAGCCTAGATCCTGCCTCTCTCTCTCGGCCGTGCAACCCTCCTTGCCTTCTAAAAAGGAAGCAATATTACTATCGACGGCGTGACGATCCCAGCTCTCGGCCCAAGAAACACCCCCGCGGCAAACAAGAAAAACAAAGCTTACAGAAAGTACCTTTTGCGCCAACCCTTTCCCAGCAAGCTAGCTGCAGCGTATATATTGCGACGAACGCAAAAACAACAAATAGGAAAATCTCGGCTATCGAGGGAGCTTGGGCGCTTTTCTTCCTCAACAAGACGAGCGGAAATCCTTCGATGCGCGCTGTACAGCGTGGTTGCGACCACCAACCACGGTTTCCGCACCGGGCTGGGCCTGACTAAGTTGACTAGCCGAGGCAAGCGTGGGCATCGCTGCGCGGGGCCCGGGCGAAGAAGGATGGGCTGATCAACGCTTGGATCTTGCGTTTTTTTGCGCTTGCTGGCTTGCCAGGAGGTTTGGCGCTAGGGCTGGGTTATTGAATCTTCAGACTTCTTAGATATCAAAAAAGCATGGACGGGGAGAACAAGAACGTGCCCGGGTGGAGAGGGAGAAGGGGGAGGAGTGGGCAGCCTGCCTATCACTCTTAGAGCTGTGCTCCATCCTCGCTGCATAGTATGTTACCGCTGCCTCTCGTCACGCAATGGTATCAATATATTAGAATTTTGGCGTCGAATTGTGTTTGTTTCCTAGTCCCAGCTGCTACAGAAACGGGGGAAGGGGGGGGGGGCGGCGTGGATTCCGCTGCCCCAGACCCTTTTACCTGCTTCCCAGCCAGTCCGTCGTTGGGCCAGAGCAGCAACAAGCAGCAGCCTGCGGCCTCTCCGCCCAAGGTTCGGCCCAGCAATGGACCTGCGCAGGCCAGGAACCAGGCATCGCAAAGAATTTCAATAGCTTACGGGGGGGTAGCCAGCAAGAATACTCCGTAAGCTGCATAGATACACCCATGGAGCCAGAATCTCTGCGGAGTGGCGAATCCCTTCCTGCATACGGAGTAGCTCTCTCAACATCCCACTTCCCTTCGCATCCCTGGCCGCACATGGCATGCCCATGCTGGCCGTCCCAGCCACGCCAATTTTTTTTGATGTTGTTGCTATCTATCTATTTATTTTTATTCGTTTAATTATCATGACGCCGTGGGGTGCCCGCTAGCCTGGATGCGGAAGGTCAAAACTTGCGGAAACTTTAATCAGGGGAATTGATTGCTATATTATTGAGTTTTTAGCTCTTTTCTTGTTGTTCATGTGAAGGAAAGTATAGTAGTGACAATCCCTCAACAGTTCTTGGGAAAGTTGCACACCAATGATAAGACTTGGGCTGAGAAAACCGAGACGAGATGGGGTTTCGACTTTCCAAGTTGTCGCCCTCTCTCTGTGCACAGCAACTGTCCCTAACAAATGTGATTATTTTGTAGAGTATCCTCTTAAAAATACGGGCATGCAGACGTCAAGGCTCTGCACTTCAAGAAGCATTTTCTTTTGAGAAAGGCCTTCGGCACAGAAAAGAATGTAATATACTGAAAGGGGTTGCTCACATGTCATACCTTCGTCAGAAATATTGGAGAAGTAACAAATGAAGAACCCAACAACAATCTGTCCCCATCAAGATTACCCTAGCGGATATCAAACACTGTGACAAGTAAGTGAATTGATTTTGTATGTATGTACATACGTACAACATCACAAAGAGAATCTTCCAATTGGAAAAAAAAAAACCCCCTCCAACTCAATGGCGCCGCATCGCATCAAACCAGCGTGCGCCCCGCCTCTCTCTCGTCCATGAAGCAGCATCATCCCAGTTCCTGCTGCCTCGGCGTCGCCGCGGACGAGGCAGCAATGACCATGCTGACGTGCCATCAGAACTCTCAGACGAAACAGAGACCGATCGGGGACGACGCTGACCACGACGGAAGCCGTCGTCATCCGAGCCAAACGGCGTGCCGCAACAACCCCTACGTCCTCGGTCGTTCAGGCCAAGGGGGTCGTCGTCGTCGTACTCGTCGTCGTCATCGGAGAAATGTCGTACGGGCGATGCACGGTGACCGCCGTGATGTCTGGCCCCGAGCGGCCCGGCGCACCTCATGGGCGGCAATGCTTGCCCATGGAGCTGTGGGGGGAGCCGCGGGTGGCCATGATGGTGGTGGTGGTGATGATGGTGGTCGCCGGCGTGTCTCATGGGAGGGGGCCGATGGACCAGAGCGTTGTTTTCGGGGCTGTGTGGCGGCGCCATCATCATGGGGCATCTGCTGCGGGCATGGGAGTGCGCCATCGGGAGGCAGCCCAGCTGGCACAGGCCGCCGCACGGGGTTTGCTGATGCTGCTGAGCTGCGACGGCTGCCTGCTGGGCCTGCTGTATGCGTTGTCTGACCAGGTTTTCGCCGCTGAAGAAACCGAACTCGGGCTGCATGTAGGGGAGGTTGGCCTGGGGGCTGCGCCGGCTAAGGGCGGCGGGACCGGTCAGCCGCTCTCTCCATCCCAGGCTGTTGGGCGACGGGCGGCCGGGAATCATCATCTTGTTGAATGATAGTTACTAGAAAATGGGTATATAGAGACGTAGTCCCCGTTTTATGTGCTTGCAAGAGCTTTGTTCGAAGACTAGAAGTATGGCTCTTTGGCGACATAGGAATACCGCTCAACAGAAATAGGCAGAGAAGCAGAAGCCACTGCGTGGAAGGAGGCTTCTCCAAGTATTTATATCTTTCACAAGGGCCATCCGGTGACACGGTGGAAGCCATGTTTGCTTCAATCTTGCCGCCTTGCACAGCTGCCACATGCCAGAGGCTGGCAGGAAGCGAGCGAACAAGTGCAGGCCCCCAACCATTTCCTGCTGGCCGTCAAACACTCCGAATCAGCAAACACCCGAGACGGCAACTGGCACAGCAAGCCTTGGAACAGCGGGGCGTTGGAGCCAGTACGAGGGTATAGTGAGGCAGATATCAAGCTGCACTGGATTCTGCATCAGGATATCAGCAGCACGGAATAATAGGCTGCAAAAGCAGACATCCGGGCGACAGTGTCCAGCGAACGTATGTAAGCCTGACGACGCGATATCGACGTGGCTTCTGGCGCCTTGGTCAGCGCGACCGTTTCTCTCCACACGGCAGCGGCTGGGAATTCCTTGTGTTTGGCGGCTGGAGGCGCACATTGCCACGCACCAGGCCGGGGGGCGCGCGCTACCGGCAGCGCGGCGCAGAGGCGCGGGTTGCTAATGCCACGCGGACGCGGCGATTCGCCCAGAACAGCCAATTTTTCGTCTCCCGCCAACCAACCACCACGACCTTCCAGCTGCTCGCCATCAACAGGCACGAGAAACACACAGTCCCTGAGCTCCTCTTCCGCTTGGATCGACCGTATTTTATGACCCCCAGCCCAGCTACCGCACCAGCCCGCATCTGCAGCCTTTTGTCCTAACCGTTGCTTCATCAGCCGTTCCGCAGCGCCTGTTTTTTCGCCCTCGCATCCATTGTCGTGTGTTCTGATTCACCGCCACATAGCCGACATCTCCAGCTTTGTCTGCTTGAATTCCCTCGTTATCGCTGGGACAGTATCCTCGGAACTCCATTGAAACCATGCCTTCACCACTTCCCTCCACTTTTGCCTCTGCCGCCGCCGGCAATACTGACTCGACGAGACGAGAAACAGCCGGCAGTGGAGAATGGTAAGAAATCCCCCCCGTCTTCGAAATACATGAAAAATATATAAAAAAAATTTCAAACACATCACCTATCATGGCCACTCAACGCGTCCCTATCGTCGGGTCGACGTGTTGGAGGGGCACGAGATCATTCCTCGTCCAACCAGCTAACTTCACGTCGCCAGGTCTCGAAATCGCTTGAATGGAGCCACGCAAACTTTTCGCCGGCCCTCCGTCGCAACCAACACGTCTCACACTCGGGAAACTACACAGGTATCTTCGAATGTATCGACTCCCACCGTCCCGGCCTACATACCACCCCACCTCAATTCGAATTACCAATCCGGTGCCCTACGAGGTGGGAGTACAGGTGACAATCGATACTCGAAAGACCAGCTCCTCCATCTGTACAGAAGCCAAAAGGAGTCCAAGGACTGGGGTAAGAATGTCACTGACCACTTTATGGCTGACTGGAACCCATTGGAGGAAAGTCCAACCACCAACGGTGGTTGGGGCAAACGCGAAGATTTTAAAGATAGCCACGCGGGACCAGAGGTGTGCTGGGATCACGATGGGAAGATTGAGCCGCTAGCTTTAATTGATATGAACCAGGAAGAAAAAGAGGTTTGAGTTTCCATTTAACTCCTGTTATGTTTTGGTATTGCTGACTTGATTTTGAAAAAGTTATTTTCTACGTCTGTCAACTCCCCGCTCAAGCCCCCACCCCAGAATGCGAAGGATGGCAGTGCCCCCAGCAGTTCAATGGGCCGCAAGTCATCTTTTTCTCATTCGCAAGGTCACATGAGCTCCTTTAATGCCTCGTCTCCGGGATCCGCACGACCTGGACCTCGAAGACGTGGTACTGGAGACTCAGTAGCAAACACGATGTCGCCCACTGGGAACTCGCGATTTTTTCGCGATGAGCCCAACGCGTCAACACCTCCCCCATCCCTCCTGCGTCGAAAAACCGATTTTAAAGACTCGAAGTTAGAGGAAGAGGGGAATGATAATGCAGATCGTGATGTGCCGCTGGACATCAGCTCTCCGTTTGCAGCGCTGAAGCGTAGTTCGACCAATCCCCTTGGGACTTCTACCACCTCACCTTGGCCGACGGGCTCCTCATTCTCTCCCATGGGCTCGTTCGGTAACTTTTCCCTTGGAACCATCGCGTCTCCACCTGCAGAAAAGAAAACTAGTTTTGGTAGTTTGCGTGGAGAGAGTCGCTTCAAAAATTTACTATCTAAGAGTAGCACAGAGGACTTCGGTGCCAGCTCCAAAGAGAAACCGTCCATTCTTGATCGTCTTCCTGAAACAGATACTGACAACCCCCCACAAACTCAGGCGGATGGCTTGAAGAACCGCCCAACCCGCAGTGAAACGAATCCTTTTGAAGAATCACGTAGCGGAAGCGCTGCCCTTGGTGGGCAGGATTTGAGTGCTTCCAGTGCTGGAATCGATCAGTTTGGACTGTCCTTCGGCATGCCAACTGGACCTTCCGCGATACGTGAGATGATTTCTGGAGGACAGCAACATGTCTCGGGCCATATTCTTGGAAACGAACCCATGAGTCCCACCCACACCAACCCGTATCAAAGTCCCCATGGAGAGCGTGCTGACCCAGATGAAATTGCTACCAATGGATCTGATATACATCACAACCATCTGCCGGGTCTTAGTGAGCTGCGTGAGGATTCAGGACCTTCAACCTTTGGAACTTTCCCAAGAGGCACTGGTGACATTACGTCAGGAGATCGAAGCCAAACATCGAGCGTAGGCGGTTCACGAAGCTTTTCAGGGCTAGGCGGCCTCGGTGGCCTTGCTCCACTCGGCACATCAACGGGTTGGCCACCATCTGCTGCCACTGGAACGCCGACTCGGGAAAGGTCTGCCTTCATGGGTGCATTTGGTGACCCTCTTTTCGCGCCAATGCCTGAGCTTCAGTCTCCTAGTTTATCCGCCTTAGGGGGCGGGGGATTTTTCGGGTCGCACACCAGTCTTTCTAATGCTGGCACAAGCACTCGTCCTAGCAAGCTTGGTTCACTTTTCCCTCCCGCAATGCAAGACCAGATGCGGGATAATTCTCAATCTTTTGCTGGGCTAGAAGGAACAAGAGCTCAAGGTAAGTTACTCTATACACCCTTTAAAACCTGCCACTTTACTCCATATTCTGACCTACTACAGATCCTTTTATGGTTTCCGAGAAAGCCCCAGGTGCTGTTCAATCCTCGCAGGCGCCCTCTGCGAGCCTAGGAGTAAATCAGGTCGTGAATCAGCCAGCGCCAGAAGCTGGTGCTCAAGCATCAGGTCAGTCTAGTGGCAGTTCATCGACAACTCAGCTCCCACCGGCCCAGCAGCGCCAAATGGTGATGCCGGATCGAATGCGTTGGATCTACCGTGACCATAAAGGAAACACGCAGGGACCCTGGTCTGGCCTTGAAATGCACGACTGGTTCAAGGCTGGTTTCTTCACCGCAGAGCTCCAGGTTAAAAAGCTTGAAGATACGGAGTATGAACCGTTGGGTCAACTTGTTCGACGAATTGGCAATTCTCGAGAACCTTTCCTTGTTCCCCAAATTGGCGTTCCTCATGGCCCCCCTGTGCCTCAAACTCCGTGGCCCGCATCATCGCAGGGCGGTGCTGTCCAGCCTCCATTTGCCAGTAGCTTCCCCAGTTTTGGCACTACCTTAACTGCTGATCAGCAAAACGCACTGGAACGACGAAAGCAGGAAGAGCAATACATGATGGCCCGCCAGAAAGAGCATCTCGCCCAACAGCAGGCAATGATGAAACAGATGCAATTCCAAGCCCCTGGTCATTCGGTGCATCCTCAACTCCAGCATCACTCTAGTGCTCATAGTCTTCAGAGCCAGCCGAGTTATGGCAGCATTGCTTCTCCTGCAACCTTCCAGCCGTCTTCAATTCAAGCTCCAATTCAGCCCCCGCAGCCGCTACCAGGATTCTTCGATTCGCGGATTGGATCCACGACAATGCCAGGCGTGGCTCCCCAAATGCCTATTCAAGAACCAATAAACACACAAGATCAATTGCCTGCTATGCTTGATCGCATAAATATCAATCGCAATGCACAGTACCCTTTTGGTGTACCCTCTTTTGGAGCAAGACAGGCTGAAGCAGGCATGCACCCCGATGCTGTGACGACTATGCTACAAGATCGGTCACACCTTGAGCAAGAGCAGGAACAGTTTAATCAAACGCAAAGCGATTCAATTTTTGATCAACAAGCCCGCGAAGAACGTCTTCGCCAATTCCACGCCTTGAGAAATGCGGATGAGGAGGCCTCTGCGCGCAAGGTCGAGGGCCTTCCGACTCACCCACCAGCCCCTTCTTTAGACCAAGAGCCTGGCGTCCATGATGATATCTCTGCACGTAATATGAAATTCCAGCACACCCAGGGCGAACTTTCTCTCACTCAACAAGTGCAAAACGCCGCTACCTCCCAGCGACTACAAATGCAAGCCCAAGCACCGACCCAACAAGAATCACCATGGGCCAAGATCGACACCAGCATGCCTCAGCCATTCCCTCCGCCACCATCTCAGTCTCCTCTGCCGGCACCTGCGGCGCAACGTAAGCAGAATATTGCCGACACCTTGGTTGCTGGATCCAGATCCCAAAGTCAAACTCCTGCGGCGGAAGCTCAAACAGCATCTATTGCTCCCTGGGCTGCACAAGCTACTGACATGCCGAAGGGCCCATCCCTGAAGGAAATCCAAGAAGCTGAGGCACGGAAGGCTGCAAAGCTCGAAGAAGTTGCCGCCGCTGCTCGTCGTGCGATCGCCGAACAGGAACGTGCAAACCAGCCGGCACCGCCAGCTCCTGGACTCCCTTCAACGGCCAATTGGGCGAGTACGGGGTCTCCTGCTTCTCCCACTCCACCAGGCTCTGTGTGGGCCAAATCGGTGACCGGCAAAACCCCTACTCCCACCTCCACAGCACCAAAGAAGACACTAGCACAGATTCAGAAAGAAGAGGAGATGCGTAAGCAGCGACTCGCAGCTGCCAGCGCTCAAGTGACCGCAACAGCTGTCGCAGCCACCTCCGGTGGTAAGCGGTATGCAGACCTAGCGAGTAAAGTCAGTCCTACGAATACGGCGCCGGTTGGAGGTGCATGGACCACGGTTGGAGCCGGTGGCAAGGCAAAGGCGCCAGTTGCGCCGGCAGCACCGGCACGAGCGGTTGTGAATACCTTGCCTGCAGCCTCTGCTGTAAAGGCCAGGCCCATGACGGCCCCTAGATCCGCAGCCGCGGCGGCAGCCACCAACCCAAGCAAAGCTACGGAAGAGCTTTTAAAATGGGCCAAGGTGTCATTGGGCAAAGGTTTGAATAGTGCTATCAATGGTAAGTACTGTGGAACCCCGGATAATATCTATGTAACTTTTTTTTTTGCTGACTCGTCATTGTAGTGGATGATTTCGTGCAGCAACTACTTCTTTTGCCCCCAGAGACGGAGATAATCTCGGATTCCGTGTACGCTAACTCCCAGACTCTTGATGGCCGCCGATTCGCCGATGAGTTCATCCGCCGTCGCAAGCTTGCGGACAAGGGGATAATCGAGTCCGCCCCAAGCACGGGTGGTAATATGTTCGGCGCAGGTTCTGGCGATTCCAAGGGTGCTTCTGACGGATGGAACGAGGTTGCTAAGAAAGGATCTACTAACGCACACCGAGAAGATACCACCGCGCCATTTAAGGTTGTGTCTAAGAAGAAGGGGAAGCGGTAAAGGGGCTTATGGTGTTGAACCTAGCACTGGACTACGCGGAGAAACCTGGTTATTATCTGCGTGTTATTCGGCAGCGAGCACAAAAAAAGACAAAAAAGATTTCATATGGCATTCGTGGGTCGCCGTCTGGTAGATAATAATATGCCGTCGACTCATTGTAAGAATATTGAAGATTTTCCTCCTTTCTACTGTGATGTGAATATGTATGCACGCCCTATTGACTAGTTAGCTGTATTGGACTGAGTTTTATGATGCTTCGATGCCTTTTTCTTCTAGCCCACGTAGTTATGTAACTATATTAGCTCATGCCCATCGTACTCTAAACCGCAAACGATCATGCTCTCAGCCCACGATCGCATTGCGGCTTGAACACGAGATCCTTTCCCCCTAGCCATCCAACGTATCCAACCACCAAGCTGTTGCTCCAACGTTGACATTTAGTCGCAAGTTCGCAAGTCGGCACTTTGGCTTTTTTTTTTAGGCTTCGATTGCTCCGAGTCCAACCGCCACCGGCCAAGTTAGCTTGCCGGCCGTTGTCGATTAAGCTCCACGCCCTACGGCAGCGCACCCGCAAGATGGGCTGGGCCAAAATCAAGTTCGGGGAAATAGCCCTTGGGGTGGGCGAGCGGGGAGAGCGGGTTTTGGTATAAAAGTATCTACTTCCCCGCCGCGAGTTAAGACCTGGACTAACTCATTGATTTCCAGGGCATTTTGTATAACTATATTCTCGCCTGCCGGGCAATTGAGTCGATCAGGTCGACGGCTCTATCCATATTAAAGGAAGACAGGTTGCTGAAGACGTGAAAATGTCCACGCCAGCACCGGATGAGGGGCAGGTTATCCCCCTGGGACGCCAGATGAAGGAGCAGTTCCCGCTGGATCCAGCTTTTAGGAGCATGAATCATGGTGAATATCTCGTGCTTTTCTTCCTATCTGCCTTGGCATCGGTAGGTCTTCAGCGCTGACACAACACCCTCAGGTTCCTTCGGCTCATGTCCGAATGTCGTTCTCAAAGCACAACAGAAATTCCAGGCTGAGCTCAAGCATAATCCGGACATATACATCCGCTTCACAGCCCCCGTACATATCGATGCCTCTCGCGCTGCTATTGCAAAATACCTTAACGTGCCGACAAACGAGGTGGTGTTTGTCAAGAATGCCACGACGGGCGTCAATCTGGTGCTGCGTAACCTGCAGTATCAGCCCGGCGATGTGATCGTGTACTTCTATGGGGTATACGGCGGGTGCGAGCGGACTGTGGCTTATGTTGTTGAGACTACGTGTGTTAAGGCGAGGAAAGTGATGCTGGACTTCCCGTGCACCCACGACGATATGGTACAGCGGTTCATGGACGTCGTGAAGCAGGTGAAAGCTGAGGGATTGAACGTCAAGGTTGCGCTGTTTGATACTATCTCTAGCCAACCGGGCATCCGTCTCCCATTTGAGAGACTGGTGGAAATATGTCGCGAAGAGGGCATCCTATCGTGCATCGATGGCGCTCACGGAGCCGGCCAGATTACACTAGATCTGGCAGCCTTGGACGCAGACTTCTTCGTGAGTAATTGCCATAAGTAAGGATGGACATTTACCCTTATCGTTGAATGCACTACTAAATTGCGACAGATGGCTCTTCACGCCGCTGGGAAGCGCCGTCTTCCACGTTCCTGTCCGTAACCAGCATCTCCTGCGTTCGACGATGCCCACATCCTGGGGCTTCTTGCCCGCCCCCGACGTCCTCAACCACGCAGCTCCGGGCCATAAAAATGCTGTACGCTTCCGTGGTGGCCTTCCAAGTACCGGCACCAAATCAGAGTTTGAAATGCTTTTCGAATACGTCGGCACAAACGATGATACACCTTACTCCTGCATCCCTGCGGCGCTGGAGTTCCGACAAAACGTCTGCGGCGGGGAGGCACGCATCATGGAGTACTGTGAGAGCCTGGCTTTTGATGGGGGCAACCTCGTGGCAAAGATTCTTGGAACAGAAGTCCTTTGTGAGCCAGGTGCCGAGAACCAGACCGTACGCGGTGCGAGCGCGATTCGTCGTTGCGCCTTGGTTAACGTGCGTTTGCCAATTGGTGTGGACGATGAAAATGGGCAGCACGATGGAAAAGAGAGGTCCTATCCTGTTCTCAAGTCGGAGGATGCTGGAGTCCTAGGCCAATGGATCGAAAAGGAGCTCCTGTTCACATACAATACTTACGTTCCTGTATTTCAGCTGGGCGGCTGGATGTGGACTCGCCTGAGTGCACAGGTTTATTTAGATCTGGAGGACTTTGAGTCGACAGGACACACGCTAAAGGACATCTGCGAGAGAATAGGAAAAGGGCAAGGGCCTGAAGGACTGGAAATAGAAAATGGTGTTGGGAACCTCACGATCAGCTAGTCCACCAGTACCGCATCTAGTTGCATTAGATATAGAAACAGAGCAAAGAATTCAGCTACCTATGATCCACGAAAGTGCCAGTCGGAGAGAACATGACTTGCAGAGTAAAGCTATTTTCAGGTCAGACAGGTATTTTTTTCTTGTAAATCGTGCTCTGACTAAGTCATGATAAAAATGCGCCGTAAAACCGAACCATACCTACCTGATACCAACCATTTCCGTGCTATGCCGTTCGGAAAATCCATGTCTCAAAAGAAAATCAGATCGCTCAAATGCATAGAACTGGAGGCCCAAAAATCGTTAATTTCATAAGCCTCACTATTAGCCACCGTTGCTCCCTCCGCCCCCAAACCGATTTCTCATCCAATCGGAGAAACGATTCGTTCCGGTGCTACCTGATTGCCGTGTAGAGTTATTACCTGGTAGCGTGAACCCCTCCGTGTTGTCCAGTGAGGGCATTTCCGCAACGTGGCCAAGAGGAACCATTTGAGGAGGCATTATTCCTCTGCGGCAATGGGGGCACGTATCATGTTCCTTTAACCATGACGAAATGCAAAGCTCATGGAACCAGTGTTTGCATGGTAACTCGGCGACCTCTTCCTTGAGCTCCACGCTATCCATGCAAATAGAGCACTCCGCCCTGCCCTCACTATCTAACATCGTTTTATCGACAGGTTTCTTTGGCAGAGCACGAATAGCTTCTTCCGAGGCAGGACCGGGGGCATTGTTTATTGTTGTTTGGTTAATTAGCTGCGTCACTACGAAATCGAGTTCTTCTTGAGAGTAAACAGCGTCCCCATTGGGGCCAAACCCCATAATTTGTGCAACGATATCTATCGGGTTGGGCGCAATAATAGTCGTTCCCCCTACACGGGTTTGAGGCCCACCATACACACCCGAACGCTCAGCAAGATCCCTATGGACAATTCTAAAAACCCTAATAGCTGGTTAGATATCAAATGATTAGTGGATGATGGTGGCAAAACCTACTCCTCCATAGTCACAGGTCGTCGTTCTGGAAAATTAGGTAGGGGGTTTTCGCCAGGTTCTGGAGCCCGCTGTTCCCTCCAGGAGCCTCTTAAAAGGGTGTTGAGATCTGTGGGCAGGGTATTTCGGTTGCGTAGAACTTGGTGGGAAGATCTAGGAGACCGATAAGTTGTGCTGGTGAATGAAAAGCGTCCATTCCCGGCAGTGAAATGGTGATGGATAATATTTTGATTTTGATTCTGATTTTGATTCTGATTATGAGGTGGGTAAAAATATTGTTCATCTCTGCGAAATACAAGAGACTGTTCGGATTCTCTTGGCGAGGAAAATAAAGGAAGTCCAGAATATGCAGGCATTGGCATAGGGTCTGGCACAGGCGGCTCGCCTTGCTTCTCAAAAATCAGCACTTTTTTCATAGCAATTTAAAAGTCGAAGAAATCCCACTTACAAGAATTTCAACAAATTCTGAGCTGCAACGCGGGCACATTAATCCATGCACATCCCTGGGCCATTGCCGCATGCATTCATGGCAAAAAAGGGTTGTTTCTGCCATGGCAGATGGAACCCTTTTTTAAAAGCTAGTAGCTGATAACAAAGGCTATGTCTGAGCAGAAGGGCTGTGAATCAGATCTGGATAGAATATCAGGGTGGCAGGTGTGGTTCAAAATAGATTGTCTCGATAAAACAGAAATAAGTTTATGAGACATGTATTGAATGTGGCATACAATAGCCTTCAGTCTTCAATGATCTATTAAGTGACGGAAGAGAGAGACAGATGTCTACTATGGCTTAGGCGTTGGTGTCAGGAATCAGGAGCATTCTCATCAGCACATAAAACTATAAACACAAATGCAGCAGACAAGAACAAACTGGGAAACTTCCAGCAGTAAAGGAGTGCACAACCTTTGCCTACAAGCAGTTGCGTTTGTGCAAGATAGAGTGAAGAAAGAAAAAGAAGCCAACAGACAATGACTGAGTGAGTGAGTCCCGCATGACGTTAACCAGGTGGCTGCTGAGTCAGCGATCCTTGATAGCTAGTGTGGCGGGATGACTCAGCAGGCGCGAACGGTCTTATCAGTATTGTAAAAGAGCTAAAACAAACCCAGGCATAAAAGTATTCACAGCTGATGAAACACAATGGCAAAAGATAAACCATAAAACGCCTTTCAAATGCCAATTCCACTGCCCAAAGCCCAAAAGAACAGGCCGTGGTACACATAGGTAAAACAGAAAATATATATCTAGGTCCGCTTAGCGTCTCTTTGTACCCTTCATGATAAGACCGCCGACAAGCCCAGCCGCCAGGGCAACCCCGCCTAAAATCGCGACCCCCATTAAGCCTTCTTTGGCAACTTTGTCGTCAATCAGAGACCGTAGGCTCGCGGCTTGTAGATTCTGAGGCTCATGGTCGAGGAGGAGATCGTTATATCTGCGCGCTTCGCCATAGTTGCCTAGCTTATAATTTCCAAGGGCAAGGTAGTAAAGACACTCGCGTCTTCGTTCGGGGGCAGTACGAAAGATCTCCGAAAGTAACCGTACACCTTCTTGTTGTTCTGGCCGGGAGTTGGATTTGATCAAGCCCTGCCAGCCGGCTAGTTAATCACAGAGAAATATGCATAGAATATGACGAAGGCCTACCCAGGCATAGTTGAATTTGGTCTGTACTCCTACGTATTCACCCTCTTTCTCATACTGGGCTCGAAGGACTTGTAATTCGGCTGGCTTCAACGGGCTATGACTAGTTAGCAGCTATATATGTCTTGCAACCGATAGTTTGAGTCAATGCCCATGTCGGCCCCCACACTCGTACCTTTCTGCGTCCGCCGCATCTATGGAGTTGGTCAGTGATCGCAAACCAAATTATGTTGCCTAGGGGGACTGAGCAGAAGAAACATACATGGAAGTTGTGAGGCCATGATACTATCAATAGAGATTTCACTGCGTAGGAGATGCTTTTTGACAAAATCCTGCGATATTCTGTGAAATTCAAAGATGATTTGAAGGCGAGGAGAGCGAGGTTTTGATGATAATCGCGGTCAAGCCACACTGGCTGGCGGTGGCGGTGTTTTCGGGCGCGGCTTTGCCCAATTAGGCTAATCGTCAACACGATGCCGCTTTCGTGACCCTCTTGCAAATTCAGCCGCCTGAACGAACAACAATATCAGGGTCGAATCGCTGCGATTCCAGACAAGGAGGACGGCTTGTTTAAAGACCAGCCATAATGCTTCTTGAGGAGGACCCGGCGACAGTATGACACGGCCTCTCACTGCTAAACATTAACGTCGCGATATGGCTAACTCTATTCTCTCCAGCTGATCAACCACACCGTCACAAACTTCAATATCCAACCTGACAAACAAACAGTTGCCCGTATTAATGACTCCCTCTCTTCCCTCCAGCAATCCCGCGATCTCCGCGCCCGCGATGCTGAAATCTCCCTCCGCAAGCTTTCCCGCAGCCTCAACACCCTCACCGCCCAGCACAACGAAACTATAGCGTCCCATGACCCTGCGCGTCATGCTGCATCCATAGTAGAACTGGATACGAAGAAGTTCAGAATTGCGAAAACCGCTTCCGAGCTGGAGATGGAAAGTGAGCGGCTGGAAGCGGAGCTAGAGGCGCTGAAACACCGGCTGGCGGATTTGGATGCCCAAGGGCTGGAGGGAGACGAGCAGGCTAGGAGGCAGCGAGAGGCAGATGATGCAACAATGCAAGCAACTATCCCCGCATATTGAGAAGATTTGGAATTGTTAACATTACCTGGGCAGATTGCGATTGAAGATTTATCGTTCCCTAGGCATTGATATTGAGGCCGACGACGCTGGAAATTACAACAAGGCTATCATTCGCAACAGTCGAAAGGGGGACGTTCATGTGGTGAACATTGATCCCAAGTTTTCTCGGTTTTTTTATGCAAATTACTTCTGGCAAACGATGCAAGGATGAAGGTTTCCATGGCGTGGAAAGGTGGAGTGCTCGGGCTTTTGGTATTGGTATCTGTTGGCGGAGTTGGTGGTTTTGAATATGTGTTTTGGGGTTCTGGTGGTAACCAACGCATGTTGTTTACGGAGTACATGTGTTTTTTGAAGATATCAATTCTATGGTCTAAGGTCGAAGAAAATGCCATTCATGCTTATTCCAAAAGTATTCCCACAAACCTATACACCCAGAGCCTTTTTTGGTATTCTCCGTAGCAACCAGCGCCAATTAATCAAGACGAAGTATAATACAAAGCTGCTCAATAATTACCCCCTCTTTTTGCGGCTGCCGCCATCTCCGTTTTCATTCTTCCGCTTTCTACCCTCGCGGTTCCAAAACTCTTGCTTCTCTCTTTTCTCTCGTGCTGCCTTCTTCTCCAAACTGTCCGCAACCTTGGCTCTATAGACTTGTCTACGCTCCTCCTGTGCTGCGTGCCGTTTCGCCACCTTTTCGTTCCGCATTGTCGTCAATTTCTGCAACAAATCTCGAGCTTTCTTCTCTTCGCCGCCTAGGACGACAGCTCTTTTTTGTATATATGTCTCCTGCTTGCGCGGCCGCATTTTTACAATCTGAGATTTAAAAGGGAGGTTGGCGGCAAGCTGTCGTGGTACGCGGAGGGGATTGAAGTGTCTTGTCTGTCGTTCTATAGGGCGGTATGCGGAATCCTTTTGAAGGGGTGTAGGGATTCCTTGGTCTCTTCGTACTTCACCGGTGAGACGCATGGCTTTCCATCCACCATTTCCTTCTTCGTCTTCGGCATCGAGAAGATTGGTAACGGGATTGTAAAATCGTACTGGTTTTATTGGATACCAGGTGCGAAGGAAGATGATGTCGCTCATTAAAATCTTATCTTCGAATGTTGCCCTGAAATGACCCTCAGGTTTACTGAGAGCGCGCTTAATCTGGCCTCGAATACCGGAGACAGTTCGGATAGCTGCACCTTCAAATTTTGCAATTTCGAGGGCTGAGTTGAACATGTCTTTAATAAATGCAGTATTGCGAAAGATTTTGTACGGGTGGCCAGTGAGTTTGAGTTTCTTCACGATCTCGCTCCCTTCATCGACACTCAACACCACTCCAGTTGCGGCTATCCTAAACCCCGGGTTTTTGTTGGAAAAAGATTGAACACAACAGAAACCAGTATTAGGTGCAACAAGAGGGCCGTAGAATGTTCCAAAACAATGCATGTGCTCAGGGGTATACTTTAGCATCCTATTTCGGGTACGTGAGTCTGATATACTGTAAATGGGTAATGTCTGAAATCGTCGCCATCCAAGGGAAAAGATCAAAGGATCATTTGTCTTGAGAATCTTCTTGTGCCAGCGATGCCTCTTAATCCTAACCTGAACAAATCCAAATCGATTTTCTGTCGGAGCTAAACCTCCTATTATGACAGGAAACCGTGGGTTAAAGCCCGTTGAAAACTCGCAAGGAACATTTTCCAAAACAATGCGTGCATATGTTCCAGCTCTATAGCCTTCTGCTCTCGCTCTTGAGAGAGCGTCGAGGTTATCGAATTCGGCTCGATTTATATCGAGCTGCTTTTGAAGCGCAGCTTTCTGAGCATCATACCACTCATCTTCACCAAACTGCTCTTCGCCTTCATCCGCCCGCACATTATCTTTTGCATTAGCAAATCCTTCCCTATCTTCTTCTTCAAATCGAAGTTTTAATTCTTCTTTTCGTTTCGCGTTCTTTTCGCGCTCCATTTCAATATTATTGGACTCGCTCTCACCCTCACTATTGCCCTCGCCAACCTTCTCGATTTCATCATTTGTCCGGTTTCCTGTCATAACCTCACCAGTTTCAAGGTCTTCAAAAGCGCCGTCACCTTCAGAGTCGCTGTCGTCCTCTTCATCAAAATTCTCTCCATCGTCGGATGCATGCTTCGAGAATTTGACACTAGCAAATCTCTGCCGTAATGTCTCTAAATTCTCTTCGTCCCGCCACTTCTTCTCAAGTTCTTCATAATTGTAAACTGGAATTATTCGATCATCAAGCTCTTGTTTCTCAGCGTTAGTTTTCCTGAAGAAATCATCCACATCTTCGGTGGCCTGATCATCCTCTGGCATATCGTCCCCACGCCATCTACTTGCAACATCTTCTGCGGGTATTGATTCATCATATAGCATACGCGTTAGTTCTGCGATTCGATAGGCTGGTTTCTTGAATAAAGCTTTCGCTCGAGCTGCAAGGTTCCCTTTCCACTTTAGAGTTCCATCGCCGTCTTCATTACCGTCGTCATCATAGTCGCTAGGCGCGCTCTCCAAGTCCTGATCCTCAACAGATGATACAGACCCAAGATCCGAGTCACTATCCGCAAATTCGATATCACTATCCTTCTCGTGAGCCGTAGCAGTCTGGTTCTCCATAAAGCGTGCGTCAAAATCGAGTGGCGGTATTACATTGTCACCGTCCTCATCACCCTCCTCTGCGTCGTCCTCCACACTTTCAAACCCCTCATCCTCGTCAACCACATCATTTTCGCCCACCTCATCACTCACAAGGCGCACCTTACGCCTTTCGTTTCTCCCTTTCGACCCTGTTCCAACTTCTGTAAGGGTGTCACCATCCCGAAAGAGTCGCACACCAGCAGTCGCCTCTCCCAGTAGTTTTCTTTCACCTTGCAGCCCCATTACTAGCTGCTCACCTAGACCTCTCTCTTCATTATCATTTTCATCTTCATTATTAAATGTGGCCGTTTTTATTTCGATATAGACTGCATCTTTGTCAACTAGAACGCCGCCGACATCTGACATAGGTGCAAAAAGCAGTTTTTGCTTTTCTCCCAACCTCCTTCGGTTAGATTTTCCTGTAGCTTTGGCCACTGCTTGGTCCATGTGCGGCGTTGGACATGGGTCCGGTAGTGCTTCGATAGATGCGACATTGAGATCCCCAACACCTGGTACATGAACTCTGGCTCCAATAGCAGGAAAATTAGTGCCACGTAAATACCCATAAAGGGCAATCGATCTATCGCATTTCGGATTCTCTTCTATAGTGGTTGGTGGCGTAATATCAAGAAATCTATCTGCCAAGCAGTATGGATGGGAATTTCTCCAAATCAACGGGCGAGGATTCTTCATGACGGACAAGAACCGGGATAGATTGTGAATTTCACGATCTGGATACCGTCCGTTAATCACACCCGACAAGTAGAATAGTTTTGCACCCTGGTAAAGTTCACTCCAGAACCGGTGTTTTAGTCGTTTTTTGGCCTGCCGCAAGGTACTCAGTTTTTTGAATAAGTCCAAGTGTGTAAGAATCCCAAAAACATTTCCTGGCATTCCACTTGCGGACAGTGCATTGAGAAATTCCATAGTCTCCATCTCAAAGCCATAATTTCCGTCTATCATGAGTAGCACGATATCCGCAATTTTTGCAACATCGATCATACTGGCCAAGGAGTCCGATGGGCATTCTAAAAACGTAAGTCGTCTCCGTTTCGAAGTTACAACGGTTAGCGGGCCTGTCGGAGAGCTAAGGGTTTGCTTCGAGTATCTTTTGATTAGCGACTTGATCAGGGTCGTTTTTCCAACCTATGCTCAGACAAAAAGCGTCAGTAATCATTTGGCCACCTCTTAGTAACCACTAGTTGCTATGCACGTACACCTGGAGGGCCAACTACCGCCACAACAATGGGCGGTGCCTCTTCTGGAAGACGGTCCACGAGAGGAACATGCAATCTTTTTTCATTGACCTAATGCGCACTTGAGGTTAGCGGGCGGATTCGGAGTCTCAACAGTACTAATCAGCGATAAAGTATAACACACATCATGCGACCTAGCTGCTTGTCTTTGTGTACGGCCTGGGCGGGAGACGGCGAAGGCTTTGACATTCGGACCTAAACATGCGCTCCCCATTAGAAACAATTGCATTCTAACAGAAGGACAAGCACACCCACCGCTCTTGTCCTTTGCTTTCCTCCCTTTGTCCTTCGACTTCCTATGAGGCTTATTTGCCTGGTCGTCCATGTTGAAGCAGCTCTCGCAACACAACACGACGCAGTCGAACCATTTCTGGATATTCCCAAAAAATGTTCCTCGAGCTTAAACTTTGCTGACTAAGCGCCGGTACAACACCCTAATCACTGGCCCTAAAAATACTTACCTCATCATCTCAGACGCGTGCTGTTAAGGTTCTTTAGCGCGAATTTAGTGTTTTGAGCTAACCCATTCAGGTAATTCAGCCAGAACCTGACCAGCACAGCATCTGAGCTGATTTTCAGCTTTTTTGCAGGAAGTCAGAAATCACCATACAAATTTAAGAATTGCAAATCAGATCAGAGCCATGCACATTGAATTTACTGCTCTGAGAACTTGATACAATGTTTTTTTATATAGACTTCATCTATAATTATGTTTAAATTTACTATAGAGCTTCTCATTCAATCTGCTTCACATCATCAGATTTTTTCATTTAATTACTTAATTAAGAAATACTGATTGATCAGCTCTAGTTATTCTATAAGAGCAGTATGTACATAAATGTGTCTTCTCTTCAGATCAGTAATCTTTCATTACTTATCTGTCTTCTTTGTAGACTGATCTGAGTCTTTGTTGTTGAGATTTCATATTATCTGTTTTTACATGAACTTTTTGACTCTGTCTTACTCAATTCTTATAACATCATCACTTTCAACTTGATATTATTTAAATTCTCTGATCAACTAGATAAGTGATTTCTTCATTAAAGTATGCATTCTTTTTTTCACTTTCTGATCTATGTCTGTTGTGCTGTCTACTTCTGAGTTGATTAAAAATGAAGTACACATTGTGTCACAAGAGTTTGCAGAAAGCAGCAAAGAAGAGATAAACTTATTTAAGATGATTTAGAATTGTTCAACAGTCTGATCTTCTAGCACTGAAAACAGATTCTGCTCATAATGATGAATGTCAGATTTCATTAACAATCTTCATGAATGAAACAGAATGATGTGCACATGTGATCAGTATCATTAAATCAGTCTTTAATTATCAGTTCAGAAAGTGTCAGTTGAATGCACTTACTGTGCTTCTCTATCAAAGAAATGATCTTCTTCTCATTGCAAAGATCTTATTTAATAAAAGTATGATTGCCCAGACTTCTCTGATTCTGTTGTCTGAAAAGATGATTATATGTATGCTTTCTCTCAATATTATTGAGATTAAATAGATTCAAAAGATGCAGTCTCTGTCTGAAGCTCATTCACTGCATATATATGATGATAACATTGATCAGTTAAATCTGACATCAGAATTACTGCAGAGTTTATATACTTATCTGTACATAAGTTCTGAGTTGCTGATTGACTCAAAGCTGCAGTCAATTCTCAAAGATTCTGTTTTTCAAAATTGTTTGACTGCTGTGGTCATAAATGAGTTGCATTTAATGTCAGATTGAGAACAGAAGTTTCAATGTTCATTTTCATGTCTCTATATGATCAAAGCACTACTAAATCAGATATTATGAACTGAAGTCACTGTTACATGTGATCAGATCATCATGAAAGTTATGTTCAACTCTATTTCATTGCACTCAGATTATGATATTATTCATACTGATGTGAATCAGCCTGAGATAGCTATTCTGGTCAGTTATATTGAATGTAGAAAGTTCATGTCATGCTCACTGTAGACTAGATCTGCTCTAAGAGCTAGTATCTTATTAGTTAGCATAGCCCTAATCTCACTAGTACTTAAAGCCATGCTGGTCTTCTTCCACAGAAGATCAGTGATGAGTTCTTCTCTTACTGTGCATATAGCAATACTACTTTGATACTATAAGTGCAACTTAGTTATTTTTCTTACACTGTAGACTTGATACATTGTTCTTTAGCATCTATCTTATAGACTGCCATCTTACAGTTCTCATTGCTAAAAATGTGGAATGATTCATTAAGCTACTCTGTTAAAAAACTTCTTTCTATTCTACCTCTTCAATATTGATGCATTTTACACAACAACAAATGCAATTCCATGCTGTTAGATACAATTAGATACTATGGCTGGAATCAGAAGTGGAAACAGAAAGAGACAAACAGATGTGAACTCTGACAATAATTCACAGATTGAAGTCTCTATCACTGTCTTTCAGAGAGAACAGATGAGTCAGACTATAGCATCAGAGACTATAGCTGAAACTTCTTCAATAAATAATCAAGAAGTGTCAGTAGTGCAAGTTGAACACTTAATTGATGCTTTTAATGAGTCAATGAATGTTGACATCTTAGAGAGAGCAACTTCAAGAGAACAGACATCAGAAGCTGTCATTTTAAATCAGAAAAAGAACATTACAGTTCAGAATCTTCTTTATAATGCAGATCAAATCATCATGAAGCTTGAGACAAAGCTCAATCTCATCAAGAAAAAACAAGATATTCAAAGATTGGAAAATCTTATTAAGAACAATAAAATCTCCAACAATTCTCCACTGAAGAAAAGAACTGAATGAAATCAAGAAACAATATTCTCTACATCTTTCTTCAATCTGACACTCAGAACACAACCAATTTCTTCAGAATTAATCATGAAGAATGCCAAAGGCACAACAGATGCACAAGTGACAGTGCTGAAAGTGCAATGAGAGAACTCTTTCTGTGATGAAAGTGCAAAAGACATAGATTCTGTGTGTGCTTCAATTCAAAAAGTGGAAAAAAGATTCATTGCCCAGACTCTCAAGAATTTAGAAGAGTTTATCACTGTCTCTGAAGTCTTCCACCTCTATCAAGAGAGATACTTCAAGAACAATGATAAACACAAGATGTTGAAAGTCATTCAACACTTTGAACCAAAGTTATTGACCAAGTGGTCACATAACTTTAAGGATCCTGAGGAAAGAATCTCATGAAAAGACTTAAAAGTATGATTGAAATATTAAATTGTGAATCCAGAACATGCTCTTAGAGATGCAGAATGTGAATATCTGACACTGATGCAGAAGGAAAATTAAAAAGTGCATGACTTTGCCATGCAATTAAAGACTCTAGAACACAGACTGAAACATAAATATGATGAACATCAGAGAAAGTCACATCTCTATTCAAAGATGCTTAGTGAAGTACATGCTGAATATGATAAGTATGCAGATAACTTTGATGCACTTAACTATGACACACTGATACAAAGACTTGCCACTGCAGAGAGAAACATCTCAGAAAAGTATAAGAAATCAAAGCCCAAAACATTTTCTTCATTCTTCTTTCATCAGAAAGGTAGTAAGAAAATCTACTACAAAGAGAAGAAAAAGAGCAAGTCATGAAACAATAAAACAGATCAAAACTCAGAGTATGATAATTTCTCAGCAGACAAAAGCAGCAGAAAGTGTAAGTTTGATAACAAACTGATATTATATTGTACTTTTCACAAGTGAAAAGGGCACACAATCAAAGATTGCTTGATTCTGAAGAAACAGAAATTGACAGACATTATGTCAAAAAATGAATAAAAGAGTTCATTAATGCCACAATGACTCTAAATTTATGCAAGAAGCAGCAAAGCCTCATGTCTTTTCTGATCACAGTACAGATTCAATCAATAACAGAGAAAGAAACAGTTCTGATCTTAGTGAACTCAGAAGCAGAAGCAAACTTCATTGACTGATACTGAACTAAATCAAAAGAACTGATTAATGACAGAAAATTCCCCAAGCTAGCCAAAGCAATTGATGAACATAAAATATGCATCTATGGAACCCATCATCTTGCTGTCAGCACAACTGACAGTAATGAGATTATGCAGTCAGCAAGTCAAGAGTTTGAAAGTGTTGACCTAATCAATTACAATATGATCTTAGACTACTCTTGGCTCAAAGAAATGAATTCACTGATTAACTAACAGAAGAACAACTGAACATACTGACAAAACATCTCTGAAGATCTTCAAGAATCAGAGATTATCTTGACTGAAGAAGCTATGATGAAAGTTATCACAGAGACTTGAACTTATATAATCTTGATTGATGAACTTCTTACCACAGACAATGATTGAGATATCAGCACACTCTACAGCACAAACATTGCAGATATCATGTTGAGATCTTCTGACCATGTTATGCCACTTGCACAAAGTCTCTTCAAAGATAACACTGGCATCACAATTAATGATGTAAATGTTGTGAATTTCATGTTGACATTATCTGACTATGTTACACCATATGCACACATCTTCTCTGAAGAAAATGCTGTCAATCTGTCCAGATCATCAAATGCTGAACATGCCATAAATCTGAAGAAAGAGAAGAAACCACCATTCATGTCAATCTATAATCTGTCAGAAACAGAGCTTGCAGTACTTCAGAAATACATAACTGATGCACTAAAGAAGAAATGAATTCAATTCTTAAAGAGCTCAGCTGGAGCATCTATACTCTTTGCACCAAAGAAGAATGGAGATCTCAGACTCTGTGTAGACTATAGAGATCTTAATCACATTACACTAAAGAATAGATATCCATTACTATTAGTTAGTGAAATGTTAGACAGATTGTCTGATGCTAAGATCTACACAAAGCTTGATCTCAGAGATGCTTATCATTGTATCTCAATACACAAAACTGATAGATGGAAGACTGCATTCTGCACTCATTATGACCATTATGAATATAGAGTAATGCTCTGTGAGGATCAGGTGGTTGCAGATAACATGACAATGGCTTACAGTCTTTGTAAATGAGATTAGGTTGAGTGAGAAGTGGTTATGAAGAGATCTAAGCATGAGAGAGAGAGAGATAACTTATATTGCTACAACAGTATCTAGAGTTTCTAGATATGTTGCCACTGATCTTCATAAAGAAGCATCTGTGGCAGGTTTTGTGTGTTCAGCTTTACTAGTGTGATCATGTGATCAGTTATGAGATTTACAAATTCCAGATGCCATGGAGCATGATCATCTAAGCATCAAGAAGATTTTACAAATCTCTTTTAGATGATGAGATGAATGTAAGAAGACTGCAGCACAGAGTCTTACAGATTTCTCTCTCTTCACAAGTCTTGATC